CTGGCCCCACCTGGGGCAGGTCAACAGCTTGCACCAGGCCTCAGTGTCCCCAGGGGTGTGTTGGGTACAGTGTTGCTGGAGGAGACCCTGGGTGGCACAAGGTTTGGCTGCTTGGAGCATATCAGATGTGTACGTGGAAAGAGGGACTCACTGGTCTCCTCCCCGAGCACATCCCAGGGGGCGGGCTGCCAGGGCTTACCAGGAGAGTGGTGTGGAAGTGCAGTCCTGGCACCGAGGGTCCCGCTCCACTGGTGGAACCATCACGGGGTGGCCCTGCGGGAGGCATGGGGAACACACCAGCAGGGTGGATCCCAGGTTGGATGGGACAAATGGCACCGAAACCAGCGTGGGAGGGGAGGCATCAGGTCGTTGCTGTACCCCAGGACAGGAGCAGGGCAGAGCGAGGCCAGTGACTTGGGAGCAGGCACTAAGCCTGGTAGTCCCATAACCCTCCAAGCCGAGGGCCCTGTGTGATCGCCATGGAACTGGACCTGGTGCCCAACTGCACCCAGCGCTGGCACACCCTGAGCCCCGCTCTCTGTCCCTTGCAGACAAGCCGGAGTGGTTCAGTGAGCTCCCGTACTTCTGGACCAAGGTGCAGGTGCTGGAGTGGATCAGCTATCACGTGGAGAAGAACAAGTATGATGCCAGCGCCATCGACTTCTCCTGCTGCAACATGGATGGGCACACGCTCTGCCACTGCACCAGAGACCAGATGCGCCTCATCTTTGGGCCCTTGGGGGACGAGCTCTACGACCGCCTGCACGAGATCAGTGAGTGTCCCAACGTCCCCTCCTTCCCCAGGCCTGGCAGCTTGAAGCATGAGGCTGAGAACTGCCCCCTCCACCAGCCCAGGACCTGCTGCTTCCCAGGCAGGAGGGCTGCCTGGTGAATGCTGCACTCGGGAGGCTGCACAGGGGGACATGGGGGCACAGACCAGAGCCTAGGCAGGGCTGGGCTCAGCTCCCAGTATACACTGTTCCCTTCCATACCAAATAGGCGTCGCTAACCCCAGTCCCCCCACCCCTGCAGCCTCCGATGAGCTGAACTGGATCATTGACTTGCTGGAAAAAGAGGATGTGACTTCCCAAGAGACCTCCCTGGACTCCAGCCACCTGGGTAAGAGAGGGGCCCTGGCCAAGCCTTTTCCCCATGGATGAAGTGCTGGTGCAGGCAGACCTGAGCCCTTCTTCCCATCTCTGCCCCTTCCAGAGCTGGGAAATCCCTGTGCCAAGGACTCCTTGGAGGACATGAAGCCCACACACCCTTTCCTATCCACAGACTTCACCTACTTGCCTGCTGCCGTGTCCCCAGGCAGCTCCGATATCTCAGGTCAGTATTTTGCCCTGCAAAAAGCTCCCTCTGCTTGTACTGATCTGGGAGATCAGTGCGGAACTGCCCCACTGCCAAGGGGCCTGGGGTGGGGGGAAGCGGGGAAGATCCCAGGGGGACACATCTCCAGACACCAGCAGCTGGTGGTCTGAGCCCTGTTCCTTTGCCTCTCAGGGCCTGTGATGTCCCACAGCCCCAACTCTCAGGACTCCGGTGGAAGTGACCTTGACCTCGACCCTGTGGAAGCAAAGCTGTTCCCTGATGGTGAGTTGTTTGCTTCCCACGGGGAGCTGGGAGACGAGGGCTGGCTCCTGGGGACTTCCAGCAGCTGCAGAGAACATCCCATCTGGCAGTGGTGTAGGGACAACACCTGAACATCCATCCCCACACTGGGAAGGAGGGAGGGGACTGGTTTTCTGTGCGCTATGGGTCTGTTTCTCCATGTTGAGCATGGTGATGGTGGAGGCTCTGGGGCAGAGCTGGGGTAGCGAGGGCAGCAGTGAGCTTGGTGGCAAGGGGTAGGTGGTGGCGGCTGCGTGAGGGCTGCAGCCAGAGATCCTGGGCACTGGAAGCTGTGTCCAGTATTGATCCCAGCTGGTGATGATACTGGGGACATTGGGAGTGCAAGGAAGCAGTAAGGTTTGGGGAACAAACAGCGTGCTGCCCTAAGCGTGGTGGCATGGATGAGGGTGGGACAAGGCTGGAGGGAATGGGGAGACCCTGCTTTCAGGGGATGGTTCCCTGGTACCTGGGCCTGAAAAGAGGGCGCAGCCCCTGATCTCTCCCCCTGCCCCAACCAGCTCTCTCCTGATTTCTCCTGCTCCTCCTGGGGAGGGCATCTCTGTGCCCAGGAAAGGGGGACCTGACACGCAGCAGGCTCTGCACAGCATGACATGTCCCCTTATCTGTGTGCACAGATGGCTTTGCAGGGAGCAAGAAAGGGGACAGCAAACATGGCAAGCGGAAACGGGGACGGCCCCGAAAACTCGGCAAGGAGAGCAGAGACTGCCTGGAGAGCCGGAAGAGCAAGCACTGTACGTGGACCCTCCAGCCTGGGAGCGGGGACTGCCTCCCCCGAGCTTGGCTCCGTGGGGGGAGATGGGAGGAAGGGCCATGTCTGCTGGCCATGCCCCTTGGCAGGGGGCTTTAGGGAGATCCAAAGTGCAGGGACCTGCAGGATCTTTCCTGCTACAAAGCTTGTTCTCCTCTTCCAGCCCCGAGAGGTACCCACCTGTGGGAGTTCATCCGGGACATCCTGATCCACCCTGAGCTGAATGAGGGGCTGATGAAGTGGGAGGACCGGCGCGAGGGCGTCTTCAAGTTCCTGCGCTCAGAGGCAGTGGCTCAGCTCTGGGGCCAAAAGAAGAAAAACAGCAGCATGACCTACGAAAAGCTGAGCCGAGCCATGCGGTGAGTGCCCTCCCCTGTCCCCAGAGGGGGACCTGCCCCACGGGGCTGGGTCAGACCCACCAGGGCTCAGCCTTGATCCACCACAGCAGCTCCCCAGCATGCAGGGCTGCATCCAGAGCCCTGATTCCACCTCCATCTCCTCCAGATACTACTACAAACGAGAGATCCTGGAGAGAGTTGATGGCCGACGACTGGTGTACAAGTTTGGGAAGAACTCCAGCGGCTGGAAGGAGGAGGAGGTGCTCAACAGGAACAAGGAGCTGTAGGAGTCCTGGTTGAGCCGGGGTCTGACAAGCCCCTTGGGGACAGCCCCGAGCTGGACTCCTTGGCAGGAAGCTTTGCCTGCAGCCATATCTGGAAGCTGCTGCCCTGTGCAGCGTGTGAAACTCCGACCCGAGCATGGGCACGCTCATGTGTGCTGGTGACTTCCAGCACTGAAGTGTTTAAAGCTAATATTTTGGCTCCAGTAGGTTGTTGTAAACCGTTATTTCCCTTGCTGGATTCGTACCTCTGACTCGAGTCACAGCGACTTTGGCTGTTTCAAAGCCTGGACAAATGCAAAGGGGAAGAGAAGTTCAAGTGGCAGCTGGCACTGCAGTGAGAACCCAGCAGGTCTCCTGCTGTCACCCACCCCCTGCCCAGGCAGAGGGGCAGCACCACCGTCTCACCGTGGTCAGACTTTGTCCCAGCTACGGGATCCTCCCCCATCACTGCTTGCACTGTGCTGAAGGCGCCCACCATCCTGTTTGCTCCGCGTGGGATGGGTGAGGCCTCTCAAGTGCAGCAGCTTCTCAGTGTGGCACCTGCTAAGAGAAGATGGGAACGTTGTGGAGCTTTACCTGGCGCCAGAGAGCCCTCAGCAGGGAGAGGACTGGGGACAGCAGGGCCTCTGCATTTCCACCCCAGCTGCCTGTATCTGGAAACAGGCCTTTTCCCCCAAAGTAGCTTCTAATTTATGTAAGAGAAAAAAAAAAAGCACAGAATGAATGTACAGATATATTTTTTCATGAGTAAGATGTTCCCATGTACGAGTGTGCATTGTAGCGCACGCATGTGTCTTGTGGTAGGTGGTGATGCTCAGCTGGTCTGAAGTGATGTCACGGGGGCACAGACTGGCTCTGTGTCAGCCACAGGAGGGGGATGCCAGCCCAGCCAGGCACTCAGCAGGTGCATGGGGGTTCCTCCTTTTCAGATGGGAACATGAGAGGAATAAATTGTTGTTTTGTTGGGTTTTTTGTACCTCTGTCATTTTGCTTGTTTTTCTTAAAGACAGGGTGGAGGTCAGATTCGTGTTACATGGGATGTCCCATTGTGTGAACTCTGTCTGCCACCACCCCTCCTGCCTAGACTTGCCTGATCACCCTGGTTTCAGGGTCACCAGGGTTTCGGAGTCTTCCTTAGGATGAGGTGATCTGCTTGTCTCTGGGCTGGTGGGAGGGAGGTCTGGAGGCCTTGTCTCAAAGCCAGCCATGCAGGGGCATCTTACACCCGCTTTGCATCCTCAGCCCTTCTGAGGACACTCCAGAAATTCAGCCCTAGCATCTGCCTTTGCAGGAGGGCTTTCCAGAGCCGTCTGCTGTGGTCTCGGGGCAGGGGGGGGGCGGGGTGTGTGTCTCTCTCAGCTCCCTCTGCATTAAAGTCCCCAGCCTGGCTGGGGGTCACAGGCTGTAGCAGGACTTCCAGCCCCTCTCTGGCCATTGCTCTCTTCTGAGGCATGAAGGGACACAAAGAAGCAGCACAGGCACTGCAATGTATTTAAGGCTTGCTCATCTTCCAGTCTGGCTCTTTGGGAGCCTCTCCTAGGACCTGGGTGCCTCTCAAGAACCACATATTCAGGAGGGGGGACTGCTAAGGCCAACACACCATCTGCCCCTTCTTGTTCAATGGCCACATCAGCCTTCCCCAGGTAGCCCAGCCATGAGGAGGCTGGGACAGTGCCCCAAGCCTGCTGGGAGGATCTCTCTGCCCCACAGGATATGTCTGTGGGGCAGCAAGAAGGAATTCATGGGGTTGTAGGCCAGCCAGGTTCTCAGATGTGTTCCTGCCACAAACTTGATGGTCCATGCATCGCTCCTGGCTGGTGTGCATTGCCTGCATTTCATGATGAGTCTTTCTGAATACTGCTGGGCACCAGAGGGTCTTGTTGCTACTCTAAAACCTCTTGCTAGTGCACAGGACCTTGCTGAATGTGAGCATGCAGGGGATAGCACAGCTCAGCTCCTGTTCACCCTCAAAGGGAAAGGCCCTGAGACTCCTCCTCTGAGCTTGGAGCTTGACCAGGTCTGGCAAAAGCAATGCCACATCCTTCTGAATGGTTTCAGCCAGTGCCTGTAGTGACTAAGGAGGGAAGCCAGCTGGCCAGTGAGGGGGTGAGGGGAGGTTTTCGGATGTCCTAAGGAGTAACGGTGCCTTGCAAAGCCTGAGATGACTTTTTGGCAGGACCACCCAGCCATTGTTCCCTGACTGCCCTTCATTACTGCTGGAGAGGTGGTACAGTTAAAAATCACCCATCCCACACTTGCAAGAGTGTGACCTGATGCAAAAGAGTGAGAAATAAGTCCTTCAAAGCAAGGTCTGGCATGGAACACCTGTGCTGTCTCCCCTCAGCTGTCCTGGCTGCAGCAGTAGGAACTGTCCCCAGTCTGCTTGAGAGTGAGGCTTCCCCGCTGCTGAGCCCCTGTGCTGCCGGGGGGAGCCTGGGCCCCTGCTTCACCAGGATGTGGATAACAGGAGATGGGTCCAAGGGCTGGGGGAACCACAGACCCTGCTGCAAGTCTCCCATTTCACTTTCAAACTCCTGATGGCTGTGGCCCTGGGCACCCTACTTCTCTGCTGGCAGCCCCCAGGCTGTGGGCTCAGTGGCAGCTGAAGGACCTCCTGGAGATGCTGCAGTGGCATGGAGGGCAGGGCCCACCTGCTCTGCCAGGGGCAGAAGGTGCCCATGGACCTGGTCTGATCTCTTTTGTGTGGGTTCAACTGCTGTTTACGTTAAGAATTGTCCTGCTGGTGCAGCTGGGATGCCTGGTCTACTGTGGCCGTACCATGCCCGCTCTTGCAATTCACCAGTGGGGTCTGCAGTCATCCAAAATCCCAGGGATGACAAAATCTGATGAAAGACTTTCATCCCTTGTCTTCTAGCGTGCTGGGCTGAAGTTGTACTGCTCCCAGATCCACATGCTGAGATGAGGCCATCAAGGTTGCCCTGTGGTGCAAGAAGAGGTCCCAGTCCCTGGGTGTGAACCAGGAGCCAGTCCGTGGTCTGGGTTGCAGCCAGACTTCCGTCACGTTCCTTGCGCAACCTTCCCCAGGGAACAGGTTTTCCCAGCTGGCGTCTGCTGGCTCCAGCAAGCGGAGGGTGCTCCAGGCCCATCCCTGACCTCCCAGAGCTGCTGCAAGGAGCAGGCTGGACAGGGTATGGGCGGAACAACGCCTACATGCTCAGGCGGCCCACGCAAGTGACATGGGCGCAAGGGGGCCGGGGTGGTGCTTGGCGGCAATCAGCACGTTTGGGGAGAGGACAGGCAAGCAGGGCAAGCCCAGCCCCAGGCCAGGTCTCCCAGGAGCCGTCTGTGCTCCTGGCTGCTGTCCCTCTGAGTTTGGGGTTGTGGGCGAGGTGTTTATTCTCCGTCAATAGATAACCCTGGCAGGTTGGCAGGGAGAGGGGAGCACTTTGTCACGCAGCCGGCTGCCCTGCCAAGCGCACTTTGTTTGCTCATGCAATTTCATTTCTTTCTCGCTGCGGTTTGTGTTACCTAACTGGCCAGGGACAATGTTTAACCAGCTCCAGCAGCAGCAGGGAACCTGTCTGCTTCGCCTCCTGTGCCCCCAGTGCTCCCACTGCCTGGCACCGCCACCCCACTGCCATCGCCAAGCAGGGGGGCACGCCAGGTGGGAGGCTTGGGGCAGAGGTGGGGGGGGCCGTAGCCCCCTCAGCTGTATAGACACCATGTGCCAGAGGAGAAAGAAGCATGGGTGCATGGGCACGGGCTGGGGGACCAGATCCTACAGCCTCCTGTGAAGTCTGCGTGGGTCTGTGGAGCGAAGAGCCAGGGAGGACAGGAGGAGGGCAAGCAAGGCCAGACACACACACGTGCACACCCCACCACACATGCATACACCAGCACACACTCACAATAACCCCTACAGTGACCTCCAGGCCTGCATTGAGCCAACCCAGTAGAGCCTCCCAGCACGTTGGCATGAAAAAGGGATGATTTATTTGTTTTCTTAATCTCCCTGGAGGTGCCTGGGTTTTATGGCTGTGGCAAACCACGGCAGAAAATGGAGAAAAAGAGGATTTTCCTCCAAAACAACCTCCCCTCACACATTTACACTGGGGTCTGCTGAGGGACCTTTCCCACCAGGTAGTCCCAGGTTGAACATGTTTCTGGCACACAGTTCCCATGGGAATATCTTGGTCGCCCTTCAGGTTTGAGCGTTAAAGTTGCTTTTCTCTCCACCAAGACCCTCCAAAGGGACACAGGGGCCATTGCTGAGCCCTGATCCAAATTAGGGAAGAAAAGAGCAGTTTGCCTTGGCCAGCCTGGGACTTGTGGACCCAAAGTAGGCTACTGTGGCTGAAATGGAGCAACTGGGAGCAGTGAAATGGGGTGAGGGGAGAGGTTTCGGCTGGGCCAGCAAGAAGGTGTCCAATATCCCACATGCCAGACCATGAACTGCCCCTGAGCACAACGACATGACCTGATTTTCCAGCTGAGCCAGGCTGTGGCCTTCCTTGCAGTGGATCAGGGCGGACAGGAATGTGGTGGGAATGGGGGCAGCCTGTGGGAGGCAGAGACCAACTCTCTGGGACCCCCTGCTCTCCTTCCCACACCCACTGTCTTTTCTTCAAGGTCCCTGCAGTCCCTACTGGCTTTCACCCTTTCTTACCCTCCTGCCTCTGGCTCAGCATGATCAGGGAGCAGGACTGAACCCCATACTGGGGGTGTGGGGTCCCGGCTGCCTTCCCATTGCCACGTGCAAGGGACAGCCCAGTAGCACAAGAACGGAGACTGGCCCCAACTCCACAGAGAGGGCAGGAGGAGACAGCCTAGGTCTGAAGCCAAGGTGGCACCTGAGCCATAAGGAATGTTGGCTCAAAATACCCAGTGTCTTCTTTCCTCAGGGGAAACATTTCTTTGCTGGGGCACTTCTTTGGTGTGTTTCTCTTGAGACTACCTGGTCCAGGTGGGAATCAGCCCTTCAGAATCTGGCACACGCCTGCTGAAAGAAAGAAACGTGTGTAAATTGTTTGGTCTGGTCCTCC